CACAGAGGTCTGTCCTGTGAAATGGGGGATGTGATGGACCAGGGCCTCAGCCCTGTCACACAGCACCTTTGTGCAAACTGGACAAAAGCCCCCTCGCCAGGGCACCGGCTGAATATCAGTTGCAGTCATGGGGCTTGGCTGGTGCCCTTGTATGTTCCCCCTCCTATAAACTGTCTGCCTCCCTAGGAGATGGGAACATGGAGCAGGAAAAATCAGTCTGATCAGGAAAGTCTTTCCCCCAAACAGAGCTAAGTGAGAAAAGGACATTGTTCCTCGTGAGGTGGTGAGCGCCCTGTCACTAGAGGCATACAAGCCATGGCTTGATGTCAACCTCAGGAAACTGGAGGAGGACGCTCTCCTCAGAGCCCAGAGGCATCCTCACAGACACGAGGGCTCCCCTACCCGTCCGCTTTCACGGCGAGGAGCACTGACCTGGGAGTCCCTTTAGTCTTTGCTCTGCTGTCGACCATCTGGGTGATTTGGGGCAAGTTGCCCATCCTCTCTGAGCCTTGGCTTTCTTCCCTGTGAAATGGGGTGCTGCCTCCAGCTCTCTGTCACAGAAGTGACATTGGGATCTATAGGGTAAAGGACAGAAAAGTGCTGTTTAAGCTGTGAACCTGCTTCCAGAACACGAGAGATCACGACTCCTAGTGGAATTTAAGAGAAGGAGGGAGGAGGGAGGAGGAGGAAAGAGGGAGGAGGAAGGAGGGAGGAGGGAGAGGGAGGAGGGGAGATAGATGGCTGCCCTGCCCGCTTTGGTGGCTGTAGGAATCCTGGGCTCTGAGCCAGAAGAGGGCGAAGGGAAGCCCTGTGGGCTTCAGCTCTGCAGGCCTCTCCCCTCAAGGGGGCTCTGTGACAGCTGCTCCTTCAGGGTGGCTGGAAGTGCCCCCCTTCTCTCAAAGGGCTGGAAGAGGAGAGTGTGCTCTGGAGGGAGGAAGAAGAGGCTGCAGGGCTGCGACTCGTCATCCCACACCTGGTCTCAGCAGCCAGCAGCCTGGAGGATCCTGTCTTGGCCTGTGTGTGTTCATTTTGGTTCCTCAAACCCCAGAGGTGCAGGAATCTCTGCCAGGATAACCTCATCCTGTGCTTGCACACCTACGGAGACGGGGAGCTCACTACCACTCTCCCCTTACCCAGGCTACACCTCCCATCGTCGGTTAGCTATTAGAGAAGACGGATTCCCTGTAATTTTCACCCACTGGTCTCACCTCTCTCCTCGTGAAGACTATGGGTCACGTGATAATGCTAACCGCCTGGAACTTTGACTAGCAACAGGGAGGTTCTTGGTATGCATTTGGTGGATAATAAATGAATAGGCTTATTTAATTCTCTCAATAACTTGTAAATTAGATACTATTATCCTTAAGGAGGCGCAGAGAGATAGAGTCACTCAGTGTCACCAAGCAGTTAGATAGGAGGAATGGGGTTTGAATTCCCATCTCCGGGACTCTGGGGTTGAGTTCCACCCACCGTGCTTTGCAGTCAGCAGAACAACAGCAACGACGGTGATATCTGACTTTGATGGGTCAGTGGCTAGATGCCAAGTGCTGTTCTAGGTGCTGTGTACATATTCGCTTATCTATCTAATCCTTACACAACTCCACGAGGGAGATACTATCCCTATTTTATCAGCGAACACCCAGAGGTTCGCTGGCCCAAGGTCACTCTGCTGGTGAGTTTTAGAGCTGGGATTCAATGCCCGGCGCAGCCTGGCTCAGTGTCTGTGCCCCTCGATCCAGCTCTGAGCTGCCCTCCAGCCCTCCCCTAGGACGCCCGAGTCTTTCTCAAGTTCTGTGTTCCCAGTTCCTCTGGGGTGGGGTTCCTGGCCCCACCCATCCTGCTAGCTCCAGGGGATTCTCGGATGGTGTCCGGGTTCCGAGTGCCTGTGCCCAGAGCCAGCCACAATGTCCCCGGGGGCCTGAGCGGCGTGCTGCTGAGGGGTGAGGACCTGTGCAGGGTGCATCTTGGGGAGTGACCCTGCCAGGTTCTGAGTCCTCACAGCCTCAGAAGCTTTGCAGGGCGGTGGTGTAGCCAGCCTCAGGTTATACCTGAGGAGAGTCCTGGGCCCATCACTTCTAACTCTGCCAACTGGGCCGGGCATTTTCTCTTTCTGAGCCTGTTTCCCCAACTGTGATACGAGATAAAGTATCAGGAAATGTTTTTTAGGCTATGATATCACCAACTGTTGTTAATTTGGATTATTTGGGGGATCCCTCCCCCACTGCTGTCTCATTTTGAGCTAAGAGATGGGGCCTTGGTGCTCCGGCTTGAGGCTCTGCGTGCTCCGGCTGTCACTTGCTAGGCTGTGTGGCCTTAGGCAGGTCCCTTCACCTCTCCGACCATACCTCCCAGGTTACCATGAGATGGAGTGAGGTCACGCTGTGTGGCACTCAGTGCGGCTCCTGGACAGTCACCTCCATGTCATGTTACCTGGCATCACCTTTACTGCCGTGACTGGAGGCCTTTCGGTTTTTTCCAAAGGAACTGTTCTCAAGTTGGTCCCCTCCTCACCTTGAACCTCGGAGCGAAGCTTGTTAATTGTTACCTTAGTCTGTTGAAATTGTTAAAATGTATCTTGTTTCTGTCATCAGGCAGAGAACTTACTGGTGAGAGAGGTCTGGTGTGGGGGAGGAGGATGGGGCAGCTGGGCCGGATTCTGCTGACACTCCCTCCCCCCCCTTCCCACCCACCCCATCCTGTCCTCTCCCGCGCAAACTCAGAACCTCCTCAGCCTGCCCATCTGGGTGCTGATGGACGAGGACGTCCGGATCTTCTTCTACCATTCGCGCTATGACTCAGAGCAAGTGCCCCAGGCGCTGCGCCGCCTCCGCCCACGCACCCGGAAAGTGTAAGTGACCTGTCCCTGCACCCCGTGGCCAGAGCCCCCGTCTACTTCTTCCTACCCAGGCGTTCCCGTCTTTTCCCTGGAGGAGAGGGAGGCATAGAGATCAGTGCCCTCCCCGAGTCCTCCAGCATGTCGGGTTTTTGGACCAGCTTGAGCGCAGGGCTGGAGGGACAGAAGGTGGGTGCATTTTGATGTGCGTGCCGGTCAGGACCTGAGGACAGGGGCTGGGCCATCGATGGGGAGGGTTCGCCGCCACAACAACCACTGGGCTCTGGGTGCCTGGAGAGAGTGGGGAGCTGGGGCAGGAGGGAGAAACTGCTGCATCTGCAAACATTCTGAGCATCTTCGGGGCACCTTGCCACTGGTTAGTTTTAGTTCTGTGGGGCCAGCTTTGGCTCCCTGTGTGTCACGCTGACCCCCAGGGGAGGCCGCGGCTCACTCCCTTATTCTAAGGAGCCCACCGCTGCCTTCCGGGCCCCTCCCAAGCAGGAAATAATCATTGCAGATCCAGGCTGGAGAAATAGCATTGGGTTTCCGAAGGTGAGGGTGCAGTTTCTGAGAATTCCAGGGACAGAGCTCCGGAACCCCGACCTCCCCCGCCAGCTCCTCCCTCCTTCCTGCCACGAGCACCTCCGAGTGTCCTCTCTGTGCCCGGCCATCTCCCTGGTGTACCCAGGCAGGCACAGGCTGAATTCCGGCCATGCCACATGACAGCCCTGGGCCCTGGAGCAGGGCATGTCCCCTCTCCCAGTCTACGTCCTTGGCTGAAACATTAGAATAATAGCATGATGTCAGAGGTTGGATGGGAGGCGTAGAAGAAAGAACAAATGTGACATGTTTGGCAAGTTATGGCACTAAGTGGATGCGTCCTCCTCCCCATCTCTTTTCTCAGCCTTTGCTTCCTGCTCTGCAAAAAGGGGTACAGTCTCTCCTCCAGGGGGGTCAAAACTTGGGAGGGGGGAGGGAGTGTGATGGCCCATAGGAGCAACCATAGCTGCCTTTTAACATCCTTTAACTACCCGCCGCGTCCCGCCGCGTTCGCGCCTCTGGTGACGGTCCCCTCGGATGCAGAAGCGGGGAGCCGGCCCCACAGAACCAGGGGGGCTGACAGTCCCTCTTCTCTCTCCACAGCAAGAACGAGTCCCCACAAAGCGCCGGCTTAGATCGCATGGAAGCTCCACTAGCAGAGGTATCCCGCAGGCCAGGCCCCCACACGTCACCTCTGGGCGGCAGCCTTGCTCCACCCTCAGCCCCCGAGGCCCTCCTGCTGGACGTCCACCTAGGATGGGGCTGGGTGCTGCAGGGAAGAAGGGCCACAGCCTCAGCCTTGGACACCGAGGACGTGGAAGAAGGGGACATGATGGGCACGCAGAGGCGGAAGAGACTGTCCATTCATCATTCATTCAGCAAGCTTTCCCAGGCCCCCTCTGGGCCAGCCCCTATTGGGGACCGAAGCCTCAGGGATGGCTCAGACAAGGCCCTGTCCCCAAAGCGTGCATTTCAGAACCAGTGTGGTCAGGGGTGATGGGAGCGCTGGATCCCACACGGAGGCCTGGGGTCCAGGGAAGGTGCTGGATCCAGGGAGATCAGCTCCTTCCTTCCTTCTCCGTACTCATCAAAGGGGGCACCCGTGCTAGAGTCAGGGAGACCTGGATTCTCATCCCAAGTCCTCCACTAACTGGAGAAGTGGCTTCCGACAAGTCACTCATCCTCCATGAGCCTCAGTCTCTTCACCTGTGACACGGGACACCCAAGTGTGTAAGCATTTTAGTCGTGGATGCACCTTCCTTCGCCTTACTCCTTACTCAGCTCTTCTCCCCAGGCCCTGTTTGACTTCACTGGCAACAGCAAACTGGAGCTGAATTTCAAAGCCGGAGATGTGATCTTCCTTCTCAGTCGAATCAACAAAGACTGGCTGGAGGTGAGGTTGACTGCGAAATCGAAATCGCAGATGAAGCCATCGGAGAAGGAGGAGGCGGCAGGGAGGGCCTCAGGGAGGAGGTGCCGTCTGAGGATAGTTCTGGAGATCTGGGCAGGTGGTGGTGGGGGAGCCGCAGGGAATACAGCCACTGGGATGACAAGTATGTGGCTAGACAGAAGATTCTGTGAGCCCACACTTGCCTTTAGTTCTGACTCCAAGAAATGTTTCCTTCAAGCAAGTCAGTTAATCTATTGAGTTTAATTTCTTGGTCTGTCACAGGTTGTCTTAGCTGTGGCACTATTGACATTTGGGGCCAGAGAAATCCTTGTCGTGAGGCTGTCCTGTGCGTTGTAGGATCTTTAGCAGCGTCCTCGGTATCTATCCGCTAGGTGCCAGTCACACCCCTCCAAGTTGCAACAATCAGACGTTGGCCCTGGGGGCAGTTGAAATGCACTGGTCTGTAATCCGAGATGATGTTATTGACCTTGCAGGCAGTTAGAAAATGTAACAATGAAGGGCTTGAGCTCTGGAGTCAGCCTGTCTACTGTCACATCCTAGCTCTGTTTTTAACTAGCTTTGTGACCTTGGGAAACTTGCTCAACTCTGTGGTTTCCTTTCTTCAAATTGAGGCAACACTGGCAATTTCTTCACAGGGTTCTTGGAAGAGTTAAAGCAGGTGTGGCTGTTTGGTGCGTGGCCCATAGAGAGTCAGGATGCTTGGTTCTGGCTGACGCCAGGGCTGTCCAAAGAGTTAAACGAGACTCTGGAGCCAGGGCCTGTCTTGGTCATTGCTTTGTCCCGCACGCAGTCAGTGTGACCCATACAAGGGCTCACAGTGACTCCGTGGATTGCGATGACAGGTCACCAGGTGGGAGGCCCTGGCCCATTGCTAGCCTTTTAGATTAAGTCCTGTTGTTCTTAAACAAGATTCCCACCTCTCAGGGCTCCTGGGGACAGTGTCTGAAGGAAGTTGTAGGACAGGTCCCAGGGGGACGATTAAGGGAAGGGTCCCTGGCATCCAGGGCTGGAGAGGAGCAAGGGCCATCGTCAGCCTTGCCAACCTGGCAGTTTTGATTTCACCCTGATCCTGGAGTCTGGCTTAGGTACTCATCAGCTTCGACAGCTGCCTGAGGGGTGTCGCTGGTTCAGAAACAGGAAATGTCTTTCGCCTTCTTGTTTTCTGGAAAGTTCTTTGAGTTAGTATGCTGGCCAACTTCTGGCCTCAGGTCAGGGGAGGACTACTTTGAGCCTCACTTTATATGTCTGCAAAATGAGATATAAACAATACGTCTTTCATAGGGTTTTGAAGACTATGAAACCATGTAGTGGCTGGGTCTTAGCCTGAAGTTTAGGAGAGAGGCTGGGGCGGGTCAGAGAGATTTCTGGCTGTTTGGCCTAAGCAGGTGCTCAGTGGTATCTGTGGAATGAATGAATGAGAGGGAACCACCCCTCTTCTCCCCAGGTCTATTTTCCTCCTTAACACTGACCACCATCTGACTCACCATGAAGTTCATCTATTTACCTGCACATTGTCTGTTACTCTCCATTATAGTGGCAGTTTCATGAGGGAGGGTGGGGACTTCCATCTCTTCTGAGTGTCCAGAGCCGGCCACATAGCTAGTGCTCAAAAAGTCTTTGAATGAATGAATGATGGAGTGAATGAATGAAAGATGATAGCAACCTTCTAGATAAATTCAGATCTCGATCTGTTCTAAAATGAAAATCTTCTCTTGGTAACCTTGGTCACTTTTTCTCCTCCCTCTATCTAAGGGGACCCAGGCCTCGTCTGTCTTTCCCCATCATTATAAGGGGGCTGGGGGCCCTGAGACGTGGCCCTCTGCCTCTTCGAGCTGGCAGAGCAGCCTCGTTTTTCCTCCTCAGGGCACTGTTCGAGGAGCCACAGGCATCTTCCCCCTGTCTTTTGTGAAGATCCTCAAGGACTTCCCCGAAGAAGACGACCCCACAAACTGGCTGCGCTGCTATTACTACGAGGACACCATCAGCACCATCAAGTTCGTGGCCTCCTGGAGGGAGGGCCTAGTCCACTCTCCTTGCTCATCCCCACTCCCAACCCGCCCCCCACACCCCGTATCACACTCTGGGCTCTGAGACCCAAATCAGATCTCATGTTGCCCCTACACACACACACTTAAGGCCTGCAGTGGCCCCCCACTGTCCTCCAAATAAATCGTATCACCATAATGAGATGTCAAGGTCCATCATGGCCTGGCCAGCCTCATTCCCATGTCCCCCTTCTGGCCTGATGTCTCCTCATTGATGCCTGTTGTTCCCTTAGGGACATCGCGGTGGAGGAAGACCTCAGTAGCACTCCACTATTCAAGGACCTGCTGGAACTCATGAGGTGAGGGGCTGGGGTGGGAGGGCAGAAGGTGGGGTGGGTCACATGCCACGGAGAAGCGATCAGATGCAGAAATACAATGCATTAGGTCCTGTCTGCATCTCCTTTGCTTCCTTGTTTTATCCACGACTCAGCCCTGCAGGGTGGGGTTCAGCTCCCCATGTTAGAGTGGGAGTTGCGGTGAGGTGAAGGGGCTTGGATGAGTCACACAGCTTGTTGAGTGTGGATCTGTAGCTGGAGCTAAAGTCTCTTTAGGTAAAAATCTTGGACTTGGACCCTCCACCATCACGGAACTACTGCCTCCGGAAACTCAGTTTAGTTATGGACGATTATTTCACAGAATGGAAATGGCATTGTTACTTTCCTGACTGTAAAAGTAATAGCTATTTATTATATAAAAAAAGAATGTCAGAAATCATAAAAAGGTATAAAGAAGTGAAATAACCTCATAATTAATTCCTTTCATTATCTGATGTACATTCGGATTTTTCAGTGCACCCCCTGCCCCACCCCCGACGTAACTATTACTTTAATTGGCTACATAGTATCATTCGGTGGATGCACCATAATTAATATGCCCATCCACTTTTGTTGGCCATTCAAATTATCTTCCACATTTTTACTATCATAAGTAATGATATGATTCACATATTTGGTGAGTTACCCTATTACTTCCTTGGGATGATTTTCCAAAGTGGAATTTTAGGATCAAGGTGTTTGCAAGTCTGTGAGGCTTCTGACCTGTTTGGTCAAATTAGCCATAGAAAGGTTGAGTCACTTGTTCCTTCCAGCAGCCAGGTATAAGAGTGCCCACCTACCCATACCTTCTGTCAGACGGTCCCAGCCCTTAAAGAGTTCTCAATAGCTGCTCCCAGGTGTCTCTCAGGGACTTTATTCCGCTCTACTCTGTGCACTCCTCTTCCCTACAACAGTTCTTAAGTGTTCAGCACATTGATACACAGGACATTTCAGGCTGTGACACTAGTTTAGTGTGAAAATCCCCACCCAGCCCCATGGTTCTCAGTTTCTCCATCTGTACAGTGAGAGGTTGGCCCACTCGGAGGGTAAGGCCTGTATAAGACTCTGAACTCCTCTGATTCTTAGATCCAGTCCCTAAATCTCTTTCTGCCCCATCCCCTTGCCCCCATGCTTAGGCGTAAGGCTGCTGGACCTTTCATTCACCCTGATCTTTCCTACACAGGCGGGAGTTCCGGAGGGAGGACATTGCCCTAAATTACCGGGATGCTGATGGCGACCTGGTCCGGCTGCTCTCAGATGAGGACGTGAGGCTCATGGTGAGGCAGGCCCAAGCTCTCCCCTCCCAGAAGCGTCTCTTCCCCTGGAAGCTGCACATCACCCAGAAGGACGACTACAGGGTCTACAATACATTCCCTTGAGCCAACGGTGTCCCTGGGGGCAGTGAAGGGGACCTGCAAAAACATCCATTTAAGAAAAATTAAGCAGACCTTACAACATCTGTTCACACGAACCCAATTCTTTGTCTTCTAACATGTTGCCTGATCAGATTCACCAAGGGGCCTGACTGCTGAAAATCAACTAGACCCTAGATAGGACACACTCTGCAAAAAATCATGAGCCTCACAAAAAGTAGCGAGGTTCTTCAATGACCCTCCCGCTCCTCCCTCTCACAACAAACAAGCTTTAGAGCCCCAGGGACTATGGAGTTTTGAACTACATGACTAAAATATTTAAAGAAATAAAGAATGAAATCATAACAATGATTGAGCTAAAGAGAATGACCAGGCAGATTGGCAAAAGAAAGATACACACCCCCCACCACGCACACTGGTATAGGTGTGTGTGTGGAAATCTGTTAAAACAGGAAAATCGGTGGATGAGTTAGATAGTATATTACACAGAGGTAAAGAGAAAACGAGTAAATTGGAAGCTAAAACCAAAGAAATTACCCAAAATATAACACAGAGAGACAAGTAGTTGGAGCATCTGAAAACAAAGTTACGAAATATGAACAATAGAATAAGAGTTCTTTTAAAATCAGAATCTCAGAAAAAATATAGAGAATGGAGAAGCAACATTTAAATAGATGGCAGATATAATATTTCAAAAGCGACGAAAAACTTAAATCTATGGATATAAGAAGCATACCAGGGTAAGCAGGACATTTGAAACCGCAAAACACCAAAGTCAAAGAAAAGATCCTAAAAGCAGTCAAAGAGAGTTGAGAACACTACAAAATAACAATTAGAATGGTAAGCAAATTTCTCAACAGCACCCATGGAAGCCAAAGTCAATATAATCATAGCTTCGGATTTTTTAGACAAAATAACTTTCGATCAAGAATTATATACTTAGTAAAATCGTCTTTCATTAGTGACGGTGAAAATGGCCCTTGGAGATTAATCTGAGATGAAAGAATAAATGACAAGCAAAGACACTGCTAGGCATTGTGCTGGATTTGTTTGTTGTTGACATAGCTAAACTGGAACCAGATTTCCAAGAATTTCCTCCCCTGTATGTATCCAGATTGGCATGGATGAACAGAGACATTTTGTGACAGATTTAGAAGGCAAATGTGAAGCAGCAGCCAACTTCTTTTCACTTCAGATAAGGGATGCTGTTCCAGCTCGTGTTCATTGTTGCTTGTCTGCCGGTTCCCATTCTGAAACTTCAGAACACTAAAGTCAAAGGGAAGGTCTTCAGAGCAGTCAGATAAAGTTGACATCACTACAAAAGAACAACACTTATACAGATAAGCAGACTTTTCAGTAACACTCTAGATGTCAGGTCCCGGCTCCTGTGGATTGTCCTTCTCCTGGGTCAGACGTGTGTTTAGCTGCATGACAAAGGACATCAGTTTCTTTTGCAGGTCACCCTCATTGGAGTCTTGGAGGAAGTGAGAGACTGACTGGTTATAGTCTGTCTTTGTGGTTCCAGCTCATACCTGCAGGTTCCAATTAGTTCTTGCTTCTCTTACTTCATGAGCATCCTCCTCTACTTTTGACTGCCTGCCTGCGTGGCAGACCTGACACAGATGTAACAGCATTGTATAAATGGTTTAACCAGGCCTCACAATTGAGGAAGATTGGTCCGTCAAAGCAAATTTCTTGTTGTACATTTCCTAGTGATTCTGTTTCTCTGATGGAACCCTGACTGATAGACGTACATATAAATTTAAATAACATTCTGAATATAAAGTAATAATAGTGTCTAATTTTTCGGGTTAAAAAAGGACGGAGCTAAAATACTATATAATAATAATAGTGTTGCATTGGGAACAGTGGAATTAAAACATTCCAAAGTCCTTCTGCTATTCATACACAGAATTAAAATCGTTAACTATCAGACTTTGCCAAATTAAATGTGCATGGTAAAATCTCAATAAAAGTTCAAAGAATAGAAATAGAACATATGCATTTCCTAATATTTAGATCAAAATGGATAAGAAAAAGTCAGGGACAAGAAAGAAAGGAGAAGTAGAATTCAAAAGGCTCATTGGTAAAAATAAGTCCAAATATATCAATAATTTTGATACTGTAAACATATGAACTCAAGATGCACCAATTAAAAGATTGATTGTAAGATTGGAGTTAAAAAAAAAAGTCCATGTAAGTATCACACACTTAAGAGACACAGAAAATCTAAGGACATGGAAACATTGAAAGTACAGGCATAGAAAAAGATATTCTTGTCAACTGCTAAGCAAAAGACAGCTTGGTGGGGGAGGGGGAGAGTCTATACAGACTCTCAGTCTATTTTTGTGTAAACTTGGCCCCAAAACACATTTAGTGGCAATTCTTGACCCTGAACTGAATAGTTATGCTTATCAGCCACACTTGCCTCTGTTGTTCTTTTATATTTTGTTGCTTTTGGGAAATGACTTTTGACTATAACCGAAGTGAGGAAATGTCAACATCGGAGGTGAAAAATCTTTTGCTGATAATGAAGCTGCTGCAAATTGCGTCCGTGGGTTTGCCATGGTATTATCTGATGAAAACTTTGACATGATCGATTGACAGTGGGAATAAAACTGCTCTGCAGAATGACTGACGAGGGCCCACCAGTTGGTTCCGCCCTTGGACTGTTCCTGGTGTGCCAAATGCTGCAGGTGCACACGGGATATGTTGGCAACTAATTGGAACAAGCTAACTTGTGCCATCTTTGAAGGGTGTATGCAATTTACTGTCCATTATTGTGCAAACAAGACAGCACAGGTAACCAGAGAAATGTTTTCTGACCAATTAAGAACCACTTTGTATCACCAGTGCAAACACATTGCAGGCATTCCAACTTGGAAAAAACACTTGTAAGATGTTATCATCATTCCTGGAAACCTGCTATGCACACCTCCTTCCTGAACTTGGGAAAAGCAGCAGTGTTTCGGCTTTTATTTCTCCCCAGTGGGATATGTGTATTATGACATGTGCACAAAGAATTTTAGAGCAAGGATAAACACTATTTTTTCAGACTGTGCACTTACTACAATCGGAAAGCCTAAGACTCCATGACTTCCCCAAAGAATTCATTCTTAAGAATGTCATTTGCAGTTACCAGTATTTGGAATGATGTTGATAAGTCAAGCTTCACAAATGCTTGGCACTGACTCTGTCTACAGTGATGCTGGAAAAATGAGCCTGCCCATGTGGGCTTTGAAGACTTTTTTTGAAGCTGATGAAAGATGATAATAGAAAACTTCATGCTTGCACAAAAAGTTTATCAGCCGAAAGCGTAAATAAGTTAGAGGGGCTGATATCAAAGAAATGATGAACTCTGTGATTCATCTATTGTTTTTTCCTTGCTTGATGGGGAAATTGCTGAAGTGGTTGTTAAATACAGACCGGAGTTGACTGGTAATCATGATAATAGTGTTGATATAATGAACACAGATGAAAACATTCTCATTTATAATATGGTGAATACTTGCGATCAGTTAACTAATGGGCTTGAACAATTTGGAATTATAATAATAAGTAGAAGGTAATGGCAAATTACCTAATTAGAAATAGACTTCTTAGGTAGGAATCTAAGTAAATGAGATATACCCCTGGAAGGAGTCATTAAAAAAAAATCAATTGCAATGTTGCTTCTTCTTTTGAGAACCCCGTTTCTGACTCATCGCCAAATGTCCAATAGAAAAACTATGGCATTCTCAAATTAGGATACTTCAGGAGGGTTTAGTAAAGGAACTACTTACAAAGATGGAGGCAGCATGCAGGAATACAACAAAGCATAGTTCAATAGAACTGTGGACCTCTTACATTCCTGGTTCCATAGGAATAAAGGAAGGAAGATTTACAAAACTGGGAGGAGAGATTTGTGTAGTGTGGGCCCCCTAAGGAGAACCAGTGACCTTTGCTTGGTGCACATAGTTGACTCAAAGTAGCTGTGCAAGGAGAGAACCAGAGAAATAAATATCCCACCCTCCTCCTACTTCCTCCCTCTGAGCTCCCTTTGGATTGAGGGAGGGTTTCCCCATTGCCAGATTTAAGTGGAAGCCAGAGGACTAGGCTGTTATAATCCACACGGTCAGAGAGCAGGGAGGGCAGGGAGCAGGGGGAAGAGTGTAGAGTAGACGGGAATGGGGACATGAAGACATCTGACACAATCCACCCATTTTGCCCCTGACAATCCACTCCTGTCCTTTATCCAAATGTGTTTCCTAAAGAGGGAACGTGGTCGGTATTATCAGCTGCAATGGCAGTGTAAGGCCACATCAATCCCAACGTGCTCATAACTGAAACCTAAAATGTTAGCTGCCACAAGTCTTCTTTACATATAATAGTGGGAGGGGCAATGAGTAAAATAATATATACACAGCTGTTATAGTCCCTGCATCCCCAGCTGGTCACAGGTTCTAATTTGGTAGTTCAAACTATCCGTCCCCCCGCCCCCTCACCCCGACGACTCATTTAATGTTCATACTCTCTGCCAACATGTTGGCCAAAGAGGGATCTTCATTTGGTAGGGTGACCCAAGACTTCATTCCTATGGGATCTGAGTTTTCCTATCTTTATTGGGTTGCCTCTGCATTCTATTGATCAGGACTAATGGATAAGGAAATGTTAAGAGGCACCCACGTGAATCACTGTAGTTCCAGACATTGTCTCCCTTGTATAGCAACAATTTAATGTCTCCTTCCCCTACTCTCTGGTAACAGGCATCAACAGCCCCAGTCGGCACAGTGACCCCTTTCTTGCCCGCTGGCTCCATGGCACAAGGAGCCCGAAATGACTCTAATTTTTAAACATGTGACTTTGCCATATCCCACAATTTTGGATATGTCCCATTGTCATTCAATCGTAAATGTTCTTTAAATTCAATTATGACCATATATTTGGAACTACCAGTCCCTTAGAAGTGTGCTTTTAAATTTCTAAATGTGTGAGGATTAAAAAAAACATTTTAATTGTCAAGTATAACAATATAGGAAGCGCATAAAAAGGGAAATAGCTGGAAATAGCAGGAGTAAAAAATCATAGACCAGAGAATTACCTCAAAGAGAGTAGGAGGAAGTAATAATAAAGAAAAGGACAGAACTCCCTGTCGACAACAACAAATACAATAGAAAAAGATGGGCAAAGCCAAAACATGAGTTCTTTGGAAAGACTCTGGAAAAACAGGATGAAGATAAAAAGAAGGAAGAAAAAACAGCATTAGGAATAAAAACGAAGCATAATTACAGAAAAATGGAGATTTAAAAGAAACTAAGAGTTATCTATCAAAATCTATCAAAAGTATATCTTGAATTTTAGACAAAACAAATACTTAGAATAGTATAGCTTGATAAAACAAACCAAGAGAACTAAAAACTTGAATTTTCCTTTAACAGTTAAATAAATTGAAGTAGAAGTATTGAGCCTCACCAGGCAAATACAGGTTTATGGGCAAATTCTACCAAACATTCAAGGAACAGATAATGCTAATTTGACAAAAAGCATTCCAGAAGGTAGATGACAAAATGCTTTCCAACTCATCTATGCAGCCTGAATAATCTTGATGCCCAAGCAAAGATAGTACAAATAGTAAAAAGTATAAGTCAATCACATATATGAATATAGATAAACATTTTAGCTAAATAAATCTAGCAGGATACAAAAAAACATAATAATACAAATGCCTACATTGGGTTAAGCCAGACATATAAAGGAGGCTTAGCATGTAAACATCTGCAAATTTTCACAAATGCATAAGACATTAATGGAAAAAAACTATATGGTCACCCCAATAGATGTGGAGAAAAGAAATTGATATAATTAGAAGTAGTCATTTGATTAAGTTACACACCACACACACACACACACATACACACTCCTAGTATACTGGGAATGAAGAGAATTCTTCAACCTGATAAGGACTGTCTTCAAGAAAACCTATAGCAAACATCATTCTTTTTTTTTTCCCTCTTTAATTCCGCCCCCGCCCCACCACTTCCACCCCTGACCT